GAGTCCATCATTGGCAGTGGGCACACGATTGAGAGAGCAAGCTGCCTTGGGCCAAATGTGTGCCAGTTTGCAAGGCAGCAGCATCAACAAGCCAAGAAACAAATGACACTGTTCATCCCCATGAACATGTGTGAACAGCCCTCATGGTTAGCCCTGGTTTCACATACTTGCAGTGGAAGACAGAATCTGCTCTAATGATGTAGCCCTGGTTGGAAAGATATAGCCAATATGGAACCAGGATCTTACCACTTGTCATATATACAGGGATCCTTTGCCATTAAAAAGTTTGCAAGCATCCAAAAATAGCTCTCCAATGTTATCTCTCCAATCCATCTCTCAAATATTACCTCTCCAAAACATCTCTCTAATACGACCGCTCCAATACCATTTCTCCAACATTATCTCTCCAAAAAATCTCTCCAATACTATCACTCCAATACCATCTCCCCAATACTATCCAATCCTTTTTGCAGCATTTGTATTTTTACAGCAAATTCCAGTCAATCAGATGTAACAATCTTCCAGAAGTAAGACAAACATACAAGTTTTGCAAAAAAACAACAAAACTTACAGAACACAAAGTTAAAACATATTGGAAAAACTTCATGGCGTTAGGTTTTTCACATAGATAACCTAAGGTTATTTATGTCAATAACCTTAGGTTATTTTTATGATAGACTAAATAGTTTGTTTATATCAACAAACTATTAGTTTAAAATAATCTTCAAAAAGTAAATTGACTAAAAGCACCAAAATAGCCTAACCTAATCTATAGGGCAACACTTGAACAACGCGCGCAACGATCTGCCTTGGAATCGAAGGGCCTCTCTACGAGCATTCCACATCCTGGAGGAGATGGAAAAAAGTTAGGAGGGGGCAGAACTGTGGGAACGTCTTTTGGGAAAGTATTGGATGCACAGAGTACGAAGGTGATGTTCTAGATCAAGCATATAATCCTGAGCGGAGCGTCCCGGCAGTGAGGTCATGTCATGGATCAACTGGCATGCACGAGCCTCAAAACGGACCCAACTATCCAACTGTGTCTGGTATGCATGTCTCATAGCAAATCGATCTATCCGATTCAACGGAAAGTGGAGCGGCTGAGGAGCATGCCACTTGGGAAGTGTCACCAGCAAAGGATGATGATGAGGTCCATTGATGCCACAGTTCCTTTCGAATTGGGCATTTGTGATCGGCTACATGCGACGATATTGTACCTGCGATTGTCGAATCAAGACGTAGTTTATACGTAAGGCATGTGTGAATGTGTGCTAATAGCCCCCTTTACAGTCCATAAAAAATCAAATCGTCCATAAAAATAATCAAATCTTTATCCGTTATAATTTAAATCAATAATATCATTCCTATTCGTTCATTTTTTACATATATTATCTAAATTATTTATCAATACATCCCTTTATTCCATTCCTATATAAAATAAATACATAAAAATTATATCCTTTTTGCAAATAATATTCATATTGTAACATAAATAAAATAAAAAATACCATCAAATATATCAAAAATAAAACATATCACGACTAAAAGAGATTAAAAACGGAAACACCAATTCCTCAAATAATATACAATACATAAAATTATACATAACTACATAACAAAACCTTATTTTGTAAGTAACATTCGCAAACATCTCAATAAAAACGAAAAATATACAACACACAAAATGTATAAACATTAATTCAAAAATAAACGAACAACAATACATCTCGAAAATTTATTTTGGAAGAAAGAAATAATGGCATACGAAGACACATAAACGATCAAACTCACAAAGCAAAGCCCGGGAGACCAGTAGAACGCGACCATAACACGCCAAACCCGGACAAACAAACTCAATAGGGCAACTTTGCCAAAACAAACGAAGAATACCTTCAAACAATCTGTTCCCACTAGATTCGAGATTCTCAAGATTTACAACTCCAGCCAAAAGAAGAACATCACTCGGGCAAAAGCTACCTGCGTTTGAACACGTCAAGGTTATATATATTTACACAAATGGAATAATACGCATACCCAGCAATTACAACCAGTACATTTGAACATGTCACCCTCGCTTTGCTAAGCTGCTCAGCTTCTCCTCTGAAACTATCTCTTTCCATCAAAAGTGGTAGTTTGTTACAGAATCATTCAAGACCTTGTTGTCTCAGCGCCCTCTCCTTTGAAACCTTTCACCTCAAGTCACGAAAATCTCGCAGAATCTGTTTTCTCATATCTTTGTGAGTTTTGCTTTCAAGCTTCCAGCTGAAATCTGCTCTTCTCTTTGGCAAATTCCAAGATTTTCACTTCGCAAATCTTCCTTTCTCAGTACGTTCTTTTTCAAGTCTTATAGGAACTTTCATTTCTTTTCACATTCTCCAGTAGGTTTCTAAGGCTCTTCTTCTTATCACCAAGCTGTGTCTTCTCAAATTTGATCACACTCCAACTTGACAAAGTGATGTGGGCAAAACATTGTTCTTTTAAACCCTTCGGATTTGGATGCTTGGCCCTGTGCTGGCAGAAAATATAACTTTGAAACGCGCTTGAAACGGAGAATGGCCTCTACACGGAACGGGAGTGGTCATGACTTGGCATTGACCCCCACAGAACCCACACCAACAACTCTGCGTGGGGGTTGTGATGGTGAGGTGCTACTAAATAGTGGTCTCAGGAACTTGTGAGGGCTTGATGTTGACCTCCTTTCAAATGTTGCTTGCTGATGAGGGAATCGTTTCAGAGAATCCATCAAAACTTCCACTGAACCGCCGTGTCCAGACCAACCGATTCAGCGCGTCCTGTCGCGCTTTCTTCCCGGCGGTCTGCAAGGGTCGAGGCGAGGCCCATAAATCCAACCTCTTGTGTTGGCTACTTCAGTCGAAGATTCAACAGGCTTTGTTTGCGGCAACTTTTCATGCGGTGTTCATTCAGAAATTGTCTTCCCAAGAATCGTAGCCACTTATTGATATGGGGTAGTGTCGTTGCCGATTTGATTCTTGGGACATCAGGACATCACTACTGCGCTCACCACGTTTCGTAGTTCACGAAGAGAGAATTAGCTAACAACGCCGGTCGGTTTTCCTCGGGCAAGGCGATTGCTGAAGGCTAAGTAGCCAAAAAGCAAGCAAATGAACAACTAGCCCAGGTTGCAGCTTAGGTTGTTCCACCCACGATTTAAAGTTTTTGCTTTGCGGCTTTACCGCAAAAATGTAGGAAACACACAATTATATAACATGCGCTGCCGGTTGCAGCCAGGCTCAGGCTGAGAAACTTGTCTCAGTGAAGCAAAACAAGCCTTCTTTCTCAAGTTGGCGAACCTTCTCCAAATCTGCCCACACCTGTTCATGGGAACCCGCAAGCACCAAATAACCAGCATGGGTAAGTCCACCGTGACTTGCGCTTCAGATCCAGCGGAGATGAAACTGCACAGTTCAAGGAAGGAAACCATGTTCTTCATTCTCTCGTATCCTGGTGTGCTTGCAACTTGGCCGGAGAAGTAGGACACGAGGAGTACAATCCACCCTCGAAAAATCCTGGGAACATCAGGCAGTGCAAAATGTTTCTGGCACAATCAAGGGTTGCGTCAGGGTGTGATGTCGTCACCGCGCTAAAGATATGTGACGCCCATCGGCGCCCATCCGCATGTTCACCTCTAGGCAAGGGCCATCGGCTACCATCAAATTCGTGTGGGTCGCCCCGTTGCGAATCTCCACATCAAGCGCTGTGCGAACATATGAAACGAGGCCTCGCGGGCAGTCTCTGGTCTCCACTGGTTCAACGTGGGTGCAAAGAAAATCACCACCGTTGACTGTTTGCTTTTGATAGGCCCAAACCATGATAGTCTTGTGCACACCATCGCGAGAGACATGGTCTACGGCATACTCGTCACCATGAGAAACTCTTGCAACAAAATCGCGTTGTCACCGGCCACCATTTTTCTCTTGGTGACCAAATGATGAAAGTGCTCTTTTGCAGCTTGCACTGAATGGCAAAGAACTCCATCCGAGCCTGCGGACTGCACTGGCTTCACCACCATTGGGAGTCCTAAATGTTTCAGGTGACCTTGGACAACATCCCACGAGTAGCCACAAACCTCCCGAACTGTGCGGCACCCAGCCATCTCCAGCGCATTCCGCTGCACGTGCTTGTTCTGACGGTCTCCCCCATGAAAGGCTTGTTCCCAAAGCCCGACGAGCAAAGGCTGAGCTCCAAAGAAATGAGATCTGCCAAGCTCACGCCTCACTCGCTGCCGGGGATGCAAGCTGTGATTTCAAACGCACCAAGTGGATAAAGCGCTCCTTCAATAGCCTTCACAGTTGCAGGAGTGGAGGCTTGCTCCTTCACCACTAGGTAGGTCTGATAGGCATCGACTTGTTCAACCTGATCTGAGCTCTGAGTGTGTGAGGTGCGCTCCACCACCTTTTTGCTCCACACAACTACCACCAAGAAGCCACGAGAACATGCTAGGGGCGCTCCAGTGGAGAGGGTGTCAACAATCACGACGACCTCTCTTGGCATCGTTTTCATCAGAGTCATGGCTTCAAATTCAAATCTATTCAAACGCACACCCAAACTGAAATTGGAAATGCCTTTGCGGTGTTGAATATGAAATGACTCCTGTTTTGATGGCCCATGAGATCCCATGAGATTGCACACAGTCCAAGACACTGGACCGTAATTGACATGGTCCAAGCGCATTTGTTCCGCGCGCTCCATGATCCATGCTTTCAAGTTTTCATGTTGCACGAACAAAGCTGGCAAACAAACAACGTCGACCTTTATCCCTCAGTGACACCTATACAAAATAGCGGCCTACGGGTCACAAAATGAACAGCTAGCCAAGATTTGCAGCTAAGGCTGTTCCATGTGAGCCGCTGTACAAGATGGCCTCAAAATGGCCAAGGGGCCACAATCTATCTGAACAGCTACCCGAGATTTGTAGCTTAGGCTGGTCCTCTCGTGCCTCTTGTCCAACCACTTTGCCGCCAGCAAACTATTTGACCTATTTGGATAAACAATGGTTGCTTCCCTTGTATGTGTAGGCGCTTACCTCTCTGCGGCCAGGTGAACTGTGCAAGGCACAAAACTGTTTTACAAAGTAATTAAACACAGTTTGAAGTCGCTCCAACATATAGCTCAATGAACATCGAAGAACTCTGGAGTGGCCGCTTCAAAGCGATTCAAGAGGAGCTTTCTGAGGTGTCAGTGCCTGTTGAAGGGCTGGTATTCTCAGCGGCTGTGTCCACTTTGCGCGGTACCAATCCTACCAAAGGCACAAGGAAGCAAAGAGATCCGGCATAGATCAATGATGTGATGAAAAAGACAAAAGTGTAGCCATGTGCATCTGCCATGACACCACCGAGCAACGCAGCTCCAGCCCAGCCTGCCATTCCTAGGCTCAACAGAGCGTTCCACATGCCGCGCCGCGTTGAGTTTGTGTAATCGGCAACAATGGAATCGTTGAGTGGCTTGAGGCAATTTGGTCCAATACCGCGACGGAACAGGAAAACAGCTACCAGTATTGGCGCTGGCAGCTTGAAGGAAAGTGAGAAAGTCAATCCGGTACACACTGTGAAAAAGCAAAGCATAGTGATGGCTCGCCCACAATACCTTGAGATCCAAAGCGCAGCTTTGCTGCATACAGAAATGAAGAAAATGGAGAAGCCTTCCAGCAGGTTGACCTGGACGAACGACAAGTGCACATCCTTCACGAAGAAAGGGTCAAAAAAAGGAACCATCATGCCACCTGCACACGTGGTCGAGAGAGAGAGAAGGTCAAGCACAACATGGGCACCACACGACCGGCGCAGCATAACAACTTGCATGGCTTCGCAACATGCTTCACAACATTCACAGTCACAACATCTCCACTCCGTCCTCTACTTTCAACTTCTGCAGCAAGCGGATCACCGAAGTTGAATATGAATATTGCTGCAGGAATCACCACTATCAAACCACATAGAAGGGCAAACTTCACAGGAAGCTCGTCGGTTTGGATGGAGTGTGCCTGTTCTGTGCTCTCTGAAACGATGACGACTGCTGCTGCGAGAAACGGCCCGGTGGCTGAGCCTGCAAGGAAGCAAACCCACTGCGTCACAAAAATGCCTTCGCGCTTCCCAATTGGAATGCTGTCGGTTAGAATGGCTCGTGAAGCACTTTGAGCAAGCTCCATAAAAAGCCCACAGGCAGCGCTTAAGGTTGTCGCCCAAGCAATATGGTCCGTGCACAGCGAAAACCCTCCTGCAACCACTGTGATGAAACCCAAGACAATGGAAACTCTCAACGGCCGCACCCGACGTGTGGGGACAGAATCCACAAGCCAACTGATTGGAGCCACCGAGGCCAGCTTCACCAATCCCGAGACGCCTTGAACGAAACCGACAGCCAAATTCGGCCCCCAGGCGGCCCAGGCCTGACTTTCAGCAATGTGATACAAATAGAGCACCAGAACAGGTCCCCTGACGATTTGTTCCAGCATGCCCATGCAGAATGACAAGGCAAAAGCGCTTCGGATATTCTTGGACTGCAACTTCATCACACGCTATGGCTATCACTATGATGTCCTAACAAGGGCCTGAACTTGTAAAATGCAAAACTTGAAGAAGCGGTCAAAGCATTCTCAGTAGTCCCAATCACAACGCGACTCTTAAACACAAAAAATCTTTTTTGGAAACAACAGGCGTTTGCCATTCAACCTCATTCCAGTTTGTCGCTCGTGTTTGGCTAAACGTGCAAATGGAAATGGTTCGGCACCCTACGTCTTGCATATTTACAATCAGACCCGACTAGTAGGCAGGAACTCTCCTGCTTACTACAGGCGGAAAGCGTTGCTAATTACACCAGCATAGGCCCAGATAGCTAGGCAGAATCCCACGACCTGTTGACATGCGACTGGCTGGAACAAGAATGCACAGCCAGCTTATGGCGCCTCCACAGCGCGCACATACAGCTGACACCGGCACCGGTGCGCTTTGCCAGCTGACAACACCGCACCAGCACCCAGGACCACAACACCAGCACCAGCACCGACACCCTTTCAAAAGCGCGCGCAGCCAGCTGATTCCTATTTGCAGCAAGAAGCCCATAGCTATCCCTATTTGGGGAATAACAACGTTCGATCTTGCGCGTATAAGTTTATGCGCACAAAAGTATGCGCGCAAGCAGCAAAGCCCGTAAGTATCATTGGCCCAACACCAAGCAGTATCCAGCGCGACTATTGATTTTGTGGCATGCTTGAAGCAACGATCTGTAGAACGATAAGGCCATATGATCTTGCGTGTATAAGTTTATGCGCACAAAAGTATGCGCGCAAACTCCAAAGCCCGTAGGCTTCATTCGCCCAAGGCAAGGCAGTATCCAGCACGACTATTGTGTGCGTAGCATTCTGAAACACGCGGTCGGTTGAGAGCCTGAAGTTGCGCATAGAACATTATACGTACAAAAGTGCGCGCGCAAACAGTACAGCCCTTGACACAGCTGTCGGCCAGAACAGAACCTGAAGAGTGTAAATACCCCACAGCGCTAATAGACAAAGAGTGCTCAAGCGACAACACCGTATGATGTTGCGTGCATAAGTTCACGCGGCCCTTGACTGCTGGCACTTCACTGTCAGAAGCGGCGGTTGGTCGCCCTTCGCCGCTACAAGCAGCGCATTGTCACCCTTCACTGTCACAAGCGGGCACCGAGCACCGGCACGCCACCTCACGGCACCCTGCACCAGCACCCAGCACCGGTACCCAGCACCAAGCACCACCCCCTGGCACCCAGCACCCGGCAACCGCGCGCCAGCACGGGCACCCGGCACCCTGTCTCCACCACGCGCACAGCCAGCTCGCAGCACCAGCACCAGCGCCCGCACCCTGTCTCCACCACGTGCACATCCAGCTCACAGCACCGGCACCCAGCACCAGCACCAGCAACCTGTCTCCACCACATGCGCAGCCAGCTCACAGCGCCAGCACCCAGCCAGCTCACAGCACCAGCAGCAGCACCGGCGCCCGCCACCACCACGTCCACATCCAGCTCACAGCACCAGCACCAGCACCGGCGCCCGGCACCAGCACCACCAACCTGTCTCCAGCGCCACCACCCGGCACCCAGCACCAGCAACCTGTTTCGAAAGCGCGCGCGGGCAACTCATTGCTATTTGAAGTAAGAACCCCATAGCTTCGCTATCTGGGGAAAAAACCAGGGTTTTGGCAGACCTCAGAATTCTGAGTGTTTTTCATACACCGTCAGTAAGCAGCAACTAGAATGGTAAACTGTTTTTACTCGTTCCCCGAAAGGCTCGAAATGCTGGGGATGCCAAGGGATGGAAATGCATTTCTGACATGACATTGTCCAACAGCAGGGATCAAACCATGATTTGCCTACTAGAAGGCAAGAAACCTTCAACAAATTGGTGAGGGAGGTCAGGAAATGATGTTGTAGAGGTATGGGGGGAGGGCCCTGGGAAGCACACTGGAGGAACCGTGGAAGAGGGGGTCTGGCAGGTGGGTAGACAATGTCCCTTACGTAGACAGGGCGGGTAGTGAATTCATGCGTGAGAACTGTAAAAAAAGGTTTGCTGGGGTCCATATTAGGTTTTTATAGAGGGGTGTTTTTCCTGATCGTGCGTGCCAGGTAATTCCACGCCGGGCAAACAGTTCTTCCTCTGTTCTCCCCATCCTTAATTTTAGTTTTCATATGTTTTCATACATGTTGGCAACAACATCACATAATGTTGTTTTTTGCTCATCTCACATTCATGCCACATCATGGTCCATGGTGCTTAAAAAGTAACAGCGAAAGCAACATCAAGCACTTGCGCACACACTTAGGATAGGGTGTACTGAACTGAAAGCGGTGCCACACGCCGGCCTAGGGTACCATTTCCTAAGAGTACAAGTAAAACCTAATGGAGGCTGGGGGTCTTCAAACGGAAGTGAGGCCCAAAGCGCAAGCACCAAATCGACGAGTTCGGATCGACAAGATGACGGCGATCCGTGCACATCTGCAGAATCAAAAGGAATAAATGGCCACCAGCTGCGTCTTACGATGCGCCCAGGTGCACCAAGCAGGTACGTTTTCGCGACAGCTTGGATGGGTCTTCGTTGGCCCATGCCATCCAAGTGTCCATGGGCCCCCTGCTAAAAAGAAAAAACAATTCAACGGAATCCCTGTGATTACAAGGGGTACACACACACACACGCCTCCCCAAGGGGATGCATCTCTGCCCTAGAGCGTCCTTGCACCTAGTAGTAAGGCCAGGAACCCCTAGAAGCATCGAAGTAGCGTCCTAGTAGTAAGGCCAGGAGCCCCTAGTAGCAACCCACTCTAAGGTCCCGACGGGAGGGAGGGGTAGGGAGAGAAGAGAAAAAGAAAGAGAAGAAAGGAAAGGGGAAGAAGGTGACAAAAGCATCCAGGGACACCCAAGGAGGAAGAAGGTGAAGAGAGGAAAGAAAGAAAGAAAGAAAGAAAGAAAGAAAGAGAGAGGGAGAGAAAGGGAGAGGAGAGAAAAGAAAAAGGCAGGTGTTCCCAGCTACGAACAGTCGTCCAGGGACACACCAAAGAAAGAAAGGGGTGATCCTGAGTATTCCATTCAGGAAAACACCAATAAGCAAAGAAAGAAAGGGGGGAGGGAAGGGGAAGGGGTGAAAGAGTGACTAGGGCGTACACGGTAGAGGTGCAGACCGCTAGTGTCTTTTGCTCACGCAGAGTCTTATCCTATATCCCTTGAGCCTTATGGCAGTCAAGCATGGACACACTAGATAGGCCACTGGAGTGGAACCTGTACAAGTATGCCTATACATTTCAACAGGCACAAAATTCATGTCCACTCCTGCCTATTGCGTATGTCGCATACTCTTTTCTACCGCAAGGCTAAAGCAGTCCAGCAAGCTCTAAAAGGAAACTACGGCGCCCTGTACTTACCGATTCTAGTATGTTTCATACGATAGAAAAGGTAATCTCAAAGTCTACTAAATACAGTGAGGGAGCAATAGCTGACTCACCTCAACTACAAAGTCGACGACAATGTATCTCGGCTGGAGACTGTATTGTTCAACCGGCGAAGATACCGTGTACCGGCGCTCAATAGCCCTTAATTAGCTAGAGCTTTAAAGAAACTTAAATTCAAGGAAAGCGGCTTTCTTACACAGAGACCTGTAAAAGCAGTAAACGACACTCGCGTAACGAAGAACTAAAAATTCAAGACCGCGCAAATTGCAATGAATTAGGATGCCTTGCAAAATGCAAGGAGCGTCAACTCTCGGTCCGAGGAATGTTCTTCTCGAAAAGTGGTCTCGGCCGCTTCCATACACTGCATCAAAAGGACTCTTACTCTCATCGACATCAAAAACACAAAGAAGGAGACACCGGCAAATGTATGTACAAAACTTGCACTACAAATGCAAACTTATGAAATGACTTAATCATCAACCATGAATGGTTGTCACTTAGAGGTCATCTCAGAAAAAGCGGCTGTGATAGATATCATCAGTTATGCAAAACTGTCCATACCTATCTGCATGCTAAAGCGTATAAACCTGGAATGCAGGAGTATCTTCTTTGATAAAAAGTTTCTCCTCGTTGCAAACCAGAATTTATTAAAACTTCAGCCTGGCGACTTAAAGTCAAGCCTGGAAGCAAGGTATCAACTGTAATCAGAAGTATCCTCACTTCCTAGCCATCATTAAAAGTTAGCTTCCGCTCTGAGTTTCATGCCGCTGCAGTCGATGAAGCTGCTTGTTCAGAAGTTGGCGGCCTACCTTTCCTTTTATTTTCTTTCTGTTTCTCCTTCCTCCGCAGTTTCGCCTCATGAAGAGTTGCTCCCATGCGATACTGTCTTCTGTCTCCAGATGAAGAGGAAGCTGGTCTGAGTGAAATAAACATTGGACCATGACTGTCCTCGTCAGTGGGCCTTGAGCACATAACCTCCGTGTCAATCATAGCAAAGTTCTCTGAAAAATTACAGATGAACTCCTTCGTGCTCACTGTGGAATTTTCATATTCCTCTTCACTCATCGAATGACCCCATTCAACAATGGTAGACAAACATGTATCTCCAAGCTTTGATCCCTGGTACTCTTCTTTCTCTTCTGTAGAGTATTCTTCCCAGAGTTTCTCAAAGTAATCTTCACACTGCTTGAGGACTTGTGAAGATGAACTGTAAAATGTTCTGGGAATAGGTG